AGCCCAGAACTTCCCGAACTTGCAGGCCGGAGCGAATGCGAACACCAGCAAGACGAGTTTGCCTCAGATGAGCGCCGTCACATCTGCCTCTCAAGACAGCCTCCATAGCCACGTTGCCGCGGGACGCCCGACGTCAGCCTCCGGCCGCAGCGATGGAAATGCCAACTACCATACAGGAATTCTGCACAAGAGACGGAGGAAGAAGGGCCAGGGTTATGCGCGCAGATTCTTCTCGCTGGATTATTCCTCCTGCACCCTCTCGTATTACTACAACCGCAACTCGTCTGCCCTCCGCGGTGCCATTCCTCTTAGCCTTGCTGCCATCGCAGCCGATGAGCGCCGTAGGGAAATTAACATTGACTCGGGCGCCGAGATCTGGCATCTGCGAGCGTCCAACGCCAAGGAATTCAACGATTGGGCCAAGGCCTTGGAGAAGGCGAGTCGTGCGGCGAGGGGCGTGGAGGAGCAGCAACCCAACACACTCAACCCCAGAACAACGCCGCTGAGGGTCAACACGACACATTTGAAGCCTACGCAGTCAAGCTTGGAGGAAGATCGCGAATGGCAGCAGGTCGAGACCCTAGTGAGTCGCATGGTCGGCACCAGGGACGCTCTTCGTCGCCTGGTCAAGGACATGTCAAACCAAAGGCCTCTTAGCATGGCTGCTTCGACATTCTTGTCACCAGGCACCTTGGGTGAGGAACCGGACAGCTACTTCACACCTCCCACAGCGACAGAACAGCCGCAAAGGCGCCCATTCTGGAAGCGCAAGTCAAGTAACGCTACACCGACAGCATCCACGCCCCAAGCGCATCATGCCGCCGCCGCTGCTGCTCTTGCTGTTCCTTCTCCGGGTACTGTCACGACAACTATCAGTGCAAATGGACCCCGCCACTCAAAGTCAAAGTCAAAATCGTCTGTCCACGAAGAAAAGAGCACACAAGAGCATTGTGCGGCACTCCTCAACGATCTCGATTCCGTTGTGTCTGAGTTTACGACCTTGATTGTGAACAGCAAGCGCCGACGATCTCCCGCTCCACTTTCTGCAGCACCCTCTAGAAGAAGTATGGAGACAGTGTCGACGGAAGAGTTCTTCGACGCAGAGGCCGGTGAGACAAGCTCGCAGATCGTCAGGATTGCCCAGAGCGAAGATGAAAGCCCAGACTCGGAGGCGGATGAACGTTTGAGTGACTCTTCCTCCATCTCTTCGGCCCAGGAGGATGAGGCTATAGGCTCCGAGGACACCGATTGCTACCCAGCGAAGCCCAAGAGCTTGTCGCCGTTGCCGGTGGATATCTCCGTTGAGAGACGAACCAAGGTTCCGCCGGCTTTGGTGCAGCCTCCTAGTCTGATTGCATTTGTGCGGAAGAATGTTGGCAAGGATCTTAGCACGATCAGTATGCCCGTATCCGCGAACGAACCTATCTCACTACTTCAGCGCGTTGCAGAACAGCTGGAATACGCCCAGCTGCTTGACCAAGCTGCTCAGCAGAAGGAGGCCAAGGAACGTCTCCTATACATCACGGCATTCGCAGTGTCGCAATTCAGCACTGGCCGCGCAAAGGAACGCGCTATTCGGAAACCCTTCAACCCCCTTCTGGGCGAGACATATGAAATGCTGCGAACCGAGCAGGAAGTACCCGGAGGTTTCCGGTTGCTTGTTGAAAAGGTTTGCCATCGTCCCGTCAGACTCGCCATGCAGGCCGACTCTGCCAGCTGGTCTTTCAGCCAGTCCCCCGCGCCGTCGCAGAAGTTTTGGGGCAAGAGTGCCGAAATTACTACGGAAGGCCGCGTTCGTGTCGCGCTTCGACTCCCAGATGGCACGGACGAGCTGTATTCTTGGACGCATGCCACAATGTTCTTGCGCAACGTGGTAATGGGAGAAAAGTACGTGGAGCCGGTTGGTGTCATGCAGATTTGCAACGATTCTTCTGGAGCCAAGGCCTCGGTCGAGTTCAGGAGCAAGGGAATGTTTGGCGGACGAGGCGAAGATGTTCAGGTTGAGACATATGGACCGGACGGGGTACACACCGGCAGCAGCCTCTCCGGCACGTGGACCAACGGCCTCCGCGTCGTCGAAGCCGGCAAAGGGGCGGGCCGGGAGATCTGGAGCGTCGGCAAGCTCGTTGACAATGCGGCCAATACCTACGGAATGACCACTTTCGCCGCGGCCCTCAACGAGGTGACGGAGATTGAGAAGGGCAGGCTACCCCCGACAGACAGCCGACTCCGACCGGACCAGCGTCTGGCCGAGAAGGGCGATCTCGACCAGGCTGAGGAGTGGAAGGTGAAGCTGGAGGAGGCGCAGCGCGCCCGGCGTCGGGTGCTGGAGGAGAAGGGCGAGGAGCATAAGCCCAAGTGGTTTGTCAAGGTCGGTCAGGGCCCGGAGGGCGAGGAGGTGTGGAAGCTGAGGACGGGTAAGGACTCATATTGGGAGGAGAGGTCCAAGGGGACGTGGAACGGGTTGGAGGAGATTTTTGCTGGGTAGAGACGGATGGCGAGGCTCATGGTGTTTTAGAAAAGTGAAGCGCAGAAGCGGCTCCCAGGCGTTTTCGGGCGGGTTGTTCAGCCCTACCCCTTCACTTCCCTCCTATTCGAGTTCTTCTTCTGGATTATGATGGTGATTTTTTCATTCAAGAGGTGGTCGACGATAGCGCGTTGGCGAGCTAAGACGATAAGAAAACTGTTTTGGGTGCTTGAAGCTTAATCCCGTTGCATGAGTTCTTCTACGTGATTGGTGCCACCGTTTTCCCAATCTCCTTCTCGGGTGCCCGGTTTCGATCATGTGCGGGACGACTCCTATACGATGGTTTGATATTCGGTCTGCGAAGGGCATCGAGGTCCCCTCAGGTGATGAGATGGAGAACCAGCAGAGTTGGGCCTGAGCCTAGCGTCGGAGCAAACTTTGAAAAGGGCTGCAGAGAGGGAGGCTACAACAGATCGGAGTCGATTCCGTAAGGTCTTGGTATGGGAGGGGAGGTAGGTAGATTACCTGAAGATCCAGATGTCAAACTCCTGATAGTCACGGGCGTCTCCTGACGCGGAGCGTTGTCGGGAAAGATGATATCGCCGGACCTCTTTGTTGATGGGCATGCGAGCGGTCTTTGACTGACTTGTGCATTGTTGCTTCAATGAGCCTGACAGCAGACTGTTCGACTGGGATTTGATGGTATAAAAGGCCTTTGGTACGAGTCATAGAAAGGCTCTGTATGCATGATACATATCTGCTCGGGCGGCACAGCACTTTGTGGCGATTCCTCTTTGTGAGAGGTGTTCTGTTTTGATAACGTCTAAACTTTCTCCATGGCCAGGCCAAGGCATTGCTCTCTCGGAGCTCTAGTTCCCTTTCATCACTTATATCATCTGTAATGAATACATGGGCTTCATATAACGCTACCTAACAAAGCTTAGTTCTTTCGAATCGTCCTTGTTATTATATATTTAATGTATCGTCGTGGACGAATACGTACGCTTCTGACGACGATAATTAGTCAAGAATGGTATGGGTGTGGTCATGCGGACATGTATGGAGTAGAAGAAGCGCCACTACAAGTGACTTCCCAAAGGTAGCAAGCAGCATCTTGAACATGAGGCCTGCTCCAAATGCCAGAAGAACTGCGCCAGTTGTCGCGCGGAAACTCGTACCGTTGAGGCGACTATGAGATTAGTGTACCTGTATGGCAAGATATAGGCTGGGTAGCTTGGGTAGCGTAGCCAAGTCTGTTCTTGAATAAGAGCTGACGCCCTAGAGAAGGTATGACGATTATTTTGAATAGACAGCTGGTCAGCGAGGATCCGGATCCTCCTCTTGGTAGGCAGTTCACTTCGACTGTAGCTGTTGTACTAAAGCGACGAGGCACTCATATAAAGGGTTAAGTCAGGATGCTTAGTATGGCCGATACACCCACCTTCTCGTCAGCATTTCTAGTTGAGAACGTATTCGGCATGTGATACGTATCGGACACGAACTAACGAGTCGTAGGTATCGAATGAGGCCAGGAGACTGTAGATTGTAGTCAGAAGGTCGGACTTACAAGGAGAACTAAGCCCGGCTAGCAACGTCAAGACCTACATCAGTCGTATGCTAGCACATACTGCGTACGAAACGCTGAGAGATGTCGACTTCAGAACGATGCCAGCGTAGAGCTTACCTTTTAAGATATGTACCCGAGCTATGACGAAACCGAAAATCTTCCATAACCTCCTGTCGTTGGCCGAAATCTCTCATTAGAATCGTGAACGCCGAAAACCTCAAGTGGAACGGAGAGACCAGTGTCCTTCAGCAATACTTCGCCTAGGATACTTCTCTAAAGGACCAAAGCTTGGTCGGCCAAAACCACATCGCGCCTCGCTGAGACTCTTTCCCTCGACCAGAGATGACTCGCTTCCGCCCCGCTTTCCCCGCCGTAGTCCCCGGTCCGGGCGGAGACCCGGGGGGTTGCCCAGGCCTCTCCCGGGTCCTGTCCAGGTGCGAATATTTTTGAGTTTTCTCGCAAACTACTAAGAATGCGAGACCGATCAATGCCAAGCCAAAAAGCACGGAGAAGCCCGATAGCAAATAGAACGAAATGGCTAGGCTGCCGGCCTAGGGCTGAGGAGATCGCCCCATTTACGTACGCGGTGTCATAAACCTGCGTGGTTCGAATAAAGTAGAGAGGACTGCCGAGTTGACAAGTCTAATTGATTGATTGACGAGTCAGGTTCATAATTTTTTGATTCTGTAGGCCTGTTGCATGGAGCCGTGGGCAACTTTCGCCTACGCTCTTGACGCTAATGAAGGTTTAATAGACTGATCATCTAGGGGATCCGGGTCAGGAAGAGTAGGATGAACTAAATGAGAGGAGTGTCATTGGGAAGGTTGGTACTTTACATATAAGCTTATGGAAGCAAGCGCGTCAGAAAGTCTGCTTCAAGCCATCAAGAGTCTCTTCCCATTTCAGCCTGCTACTCTCAACATCCTTTCTATCTCTATTCACAAATTTCAATAACCCGTCATAAAAATGCGTTTCTTCCTCGTATTCCTTCTCGCTGCGATGCAGCTCTGCGGCGTCAACGCCATCTTGCGTCTCCAGAAGTGCGGCACAGCGTTTGACAACAATGTGAGTCCTCCGATCCAAGTGACCTCGAGGCAACTGTCCTGCCTTAGGAAGACTTCCCTCCGGGCTAGGCCCATCTAGTCTTCTGTCTCGTGTGCGCGCGAAACATTTGATGCTAATTGGCGATGTTAGTGGGTGTCGAACTGTAGTCCCACGGATCAGGATGGCTGCTACAAGTTGTGTAGCAACAAGGTAAGTTCTTGCGCCAAATTCCTCCTTACAAAAATGACTCTGCCCTGGGTTGTGTGTGGTTCAGAGAGCATTCTTCTGACGTTGAACGTAGTGTCGCACGGCTAGTGGAAGATGGATGGCGAACGGCGCCGACTGCGATTGCTATTGTTAGGAGAGAGACAATCGGAGCGCAGTTTACCCTGATACCCATAGCGTATCTTTTTCTCAATAAAACGAATCACACTTGTTTTGGAAGCATGATTCAGAGCAGGCTGCGTGAATCGACAATCATCACGAAGTCCCCATGCCGTACGCATGCATTCTTGCCGCGACGTTCTTTAAATGCGCAACGCTCATGACTCTGAGGCCTCCTTACGTGAAGCTACGGAGAAAGTCACCTGGATTCTCTAAATTGGATAAGCAAGCCTAGGTATGCATCCCAGAATTGTCCTGCTCTTACGGGCTTTACCATGCACCAGTTCAACGGCGTACCGGCGACAAGGTTCTATTCGGCCGCAGAGTGTCGTTGATCAGCCTTCACTGCTGATATGACTGAAATTGACGCACCGTGTTATACAAGGTCAACTTCCACCTCCTCTTCTAATACCTGCCGCTCTTCACAGCCGAGAAACCGACACCTATACCCCAGAGAATACCATGCAGGTCAACCAAGATTTCGAAAGCAAGGAAAGAGCTAGAAACTTCTAAAGAGACATTTGGGTACTTTAAAACCCGGTGCGCCTTCCCACGTTTCATTCAGCGCAACCTGTGCCGTATGTCGTGATAGCGGCGTCCACAACTCATAACTCACACCACAACCACCCAAAACTCATCACCACCACCCTCTCTTCACGACAACACAAAAATAGGTCATACAGGGCAAAATAAAGACTCCTCGACGGGGAACCGCCATTGTCCTTTTTCTCGTTCAGGCTTACGTTCTCGTCGGGGAGCATCTCGATTCTGGTTTCCATCTTGCATCTCGATGGGGAGTCGAGTCACAGCACATGGAAATCGGGCAAGTAACAACCTGAGCCAAACTTTACGTTTTTGATTAATGTTTTTGAAACTGCGAACAACTCGTTATGATCCTCCGGGCAATGAAAGGTCTCTTCTCATAGCTGAATTCACTTTCTTTCCTTCTCATCGCTGTCGCTCAACTCCCGGACCTAAGCTCTGGAAGGAATTCGTCCGACTATATGACTAAGATTCGAGAGAAGAGTCTGGCAATGGAGACGACTAATAATCGTCGGATGAATTCAGAGGCACCAAAAAACTGATCCCTCCTACTCTAGGTAATGACGGGAGAGCCGACCGTGGCAATCTTTCGTACAACCAACTTACTCGATCGTCAAAAGTTGTGCTCATTACTTGCCAGTTGGGACGCATTCCCTGAGAACAACATAAAAAAGGAAATCCCTGGTGCTCGTAATGAATTTGCCAAAGGTCTTGATCTAACGTGATATCCAACGGCAAGCCTCCTTCATCCCATTGGCTCTGCCGTACTATTTCATCGTCACCCTATCGTCGAGTCGATCCTCTCAATCCAAATCTCTGATTAGATGACAAGGCAGGGCCATTCGATCGGGGCAGGAGGATTTCACACTCATGAAATGGGGTCAAGAAGAGGCCGAACAAACAATTCGACCGCGGCCCCCTCGTCACCATATCAAGGCAAATACCACCCAAAGCTCTTAACTCATTCCAAAAACCGACTCAAGTACTACCAAGCTGGCATCAAATCTGACCGATGAGGTTTTCGAACAACGGAGCTCCGTCGGGGAGACGACACGTCGCGATCAAGATCAAAATTGAGACGAAAGAGAGAAACGCTTGGGCTCTTTGAGTGCAAGCCTCTGAGGCAAGGTCACCCCTCACCTTCTTCCATATTTAGAGTCAATAGGATTCTGAGCTCTTTCCAACAGAAGTGATGTGGAAGTAATCTAGCAAATTGTGGAAGAAGTTCAGATGATAGGGTTGCGATTCATCGCTTTCGCCGGATGAGATGTCTGTATACCCGAGGCTGAGATTGAGGTGTTCTACTCTTCACATGCTGCCAGTTGTCAAGGGGATACAAACCCAATGTGAAGGATGGGTATTCCATTCTATAATCAAGTTGTGAGAGTTAGGAACTTTCTTTGCCTCGCCTTGGTTCACATCCTACCAAGGATTAACATGTCTCCGGCAGGGGTTTGAGTTCCTGAGGAATGAACTGTGGAAGATATTGTGAGAGACTGAGAATAATTTGCGCATTGCTTCGAAAAATTGATCTCAATAAGTAGCGGGGAAATCAGAAGGGCGTCAATACAAATCGAAGTCTGCCTTGGTAGAATATCAAAATGCAAGAATCTACGTGGGCTTTAATACTGGGCAGATTGACCTACCAGCTTCTCGAGTCTGAACTACGGAGGCTTCATTTTGGCAGAGACTCCTTAGATTTCAGTGTTCTCATGCTTGCTTTCAGAGAGCTGATTGTCAATTCAATTTAGTTCCCGCGGAGGCACCTGAGTTGTTATCTCTGGGTTAATTCTCCTCGCAACTTCGAGGTTCGCATCAAGGATTCCAGCTGCACCCTAATCGAGACCATGTGGCTGTCGACCGTGACTAGCCTCCTGGGACACCTTACTTCACAAAAAGGGAAAGAATGGAAGTTCTCTTCTGAAGCACGGTCAACCAAGACCTCGTGTTCGGGGCGGGGGGGGGGGGGGGGGGCTGGGCCGCCCGCATGTTCGCCCGCTCATCGACCTTCCACCATAGGTCTCGGCGCCACCACCGAGTCATCCCGTGATCCGTCGTCGCGGCGACGACGAGATCCCGTCACCGTGGACCGGCTTTTATTCAGTATCGAATAAGAGAAAACATACGATTTTCCAAGAGACATCAAAGTGAACAGGGCAGAAGCAAGGGCAGCGGCGGTGGGGACCAGACATCGTGTTACGCAAGCTAGTGACCGAGCGAACGCTGGAAGGAATCGGTTTCAGATGATTCGGGAAACCTGACTTTGTGGGGTGGTTTAGTGTCGAAAAAGCAGACTAGGCTGTTGAAGCACAGAGTGTGTGTTGTGATCAAAGCGCGCCGAGGAGACCCAGCCTCGTGGTTTGCCGGGTGTCAGAGCAACGGTCGAAATGCCTTGGGGATGTTGACAGCAGCCAACATCATTGTCTGCAGACAATTGAGATTAGTACTGTCCCCGCGTATCCCGTCGGACTGCTTACCTTTAGTTAAGAAGCACGGAGCCGTGGAGAGTCCCTTGCGGTGACCAAGTTTTCGGATGGAAAATTCGGGCCCTGGAAGCGGGAATTCGGAGTCCTAAAAGTGCCGTATTGCCGTGTCGCGAATGACTCACCAAATGATGCCTTAGTTGAAAGCACTGCAGGGCTCTCGGGCTTTCTCAACATTCAATTGTTAAACACCGAACCATCGAGGACTCGGACCTGAGAGCGGGTCCTCCGGTGGTTGCCCCGATATCCCCACATTTACGGGTCATGAAGTCGGCGATCCGGTCGGAGGTTGCTCATCGGCGCGGAGACTCCAAGAAGCGCCGCTCAGAGGTCGGGCGATCGACTGAATCAGGCGACAATTTTCCATATTGATCCAAGACACTAGGCGCCACTGGTGGTCAGCAGTCTCATTGCTCCGACGTAGCACCTTGAGAATTGTCAGCCAGCCCTCCGATCCATAGGTATTGGCCATCATCCTTTGGCTGCGTCAATCAATGCCCTGCAACCCCAGGGCCGTTAAGCAATGAGGCCGTCAGCTGGACGCTCTCCCCGCTGTGGTATGGCATCGATAAGCAACAGGCAATCCAAGTAAGCTGAGTGTTGAATGGACCAACTTCTCTTTGTCGTCAGCCACAGTGGTGAGGATGGGGACCAGGGGTTCCTGCAAGGCTCGGTGAATGATAGACGCTAGGGGCGGGATGCTCCCCATCCATCCACTCACGAGGCAAGGCTTGGCCGCTAGGCGGCGCGCTCAGCAATATTTCCGTCTAGGGCGCATGCACGATGCTGAGGTGTGCATCAGCCTCTGCGTTGCATCTGCGTCTGGGTACTTTCCACAAGATGTTGTTGCCTTGAAAGAGGAGCCTTTAGGTAACTTCGCCAGGATCGTCAGGAAGCTGGATATGTCGGGCTCGGCACTCAAAATAGGCGGTGTCCAGGGGGAGCATCAAGCTGACCGTATTTCTGGATGTTGACGCCTCCACTAGTATTAATGTTCAGCGTCGATTGCTGATTAGCCGTAAGCCGTCAAACAAGATCATGGTCTCTGTTGGAATGCACAACTTCGCTAGCTGCATTGAAATGCAGCATTTCTTGGGCGCCTGGCATCGAGTAACTTGAGCCACCAATATGGGTTGTACAACACGAGTATCACTTAAACTCATTACTGGACTTGGATGAGATACTGAGGCTCTGGGCCAGCGGTGTTGGGGAAACCTTGAAACCTTTTTGCTGTGAGGACGCCAGCTTTGTTGCACCAAAGTAGTAGAGCTGGGCTCACTGAGGTACTTCATGCTCCGTCTGAGATGACTTGAAAGATTTCGTTAAGAATGTAGTTGAGTGACACCAGCCGTTGAAGCTTAGTTAGCAGGAAGAAGAAACACAGCTCAGGCTGGCGACAGGGTATACAACGAGCCAGGATGGTCCGGTCGAAGCGAGAGGCAGTGACGAGCTAGACGGAAATATGGGCAGCGGGGATTGCAGAAACAAAGAGAATCATCAAAGAGAGAGACATTTGGTCTTCTATGATCCGTGCATATGCGTGTGTAGAATCCCTCTGCTAAGTGGCTCAGCTGTTGAGTAAGGCCTGGGGTAATCAAGCGTTTTCCCAATTCATCCAGCTCAGCTTTGCTTAGGCTGCTCCAATGTGCAGGATTCTCGAGGCCCCAAAGCAGGTTTGACGTGTTCTCCGAGGGATCTTTTCTTACCTGCATGAAGTAAAAGAGGCTCGCAAGGTCTGGCTCAAGCCAACACTTTTCTCCATGTAATGGTGGCGGAGGTACCTCAACCAGCATGTGTAACGCAGAACTGTAGACAGACGCCGCGGTGCTGGCCCGTGCCGTTGAGAAGCTTCGGCAGCGCGAATTTGGCCAGCCGATTAAGCGGAACCCACGGGCGGATGTGTCTTGGATGGACGGAAACCTCTAAACGCGCCGTTCGGACCAGGCTGGCGAGTGACAAAATTGTATGCTGTCAAACGAGTAGCCATTCTCGGGCGGATGTCAGGGGAGTTAAATAGTGGTGAGTGGGCCATCAAGCGAAGGGAGAAGTGCCTACTAAGTACCTTATTATTAAAGAAAATTAATTCTTTTTAAGTTATAAGTATAAGAATATAGTTTTAATAAATAGTATAGTACTTACTTAGTACTTAAATTAAAATACTTTTTTAAACTTATTATAAAAAAAAGATAACTATATTACTAATTACTTATTATCGAGGTTTATAATACTATAGTTTTAATTATAATAGCTTTATTTATAATAAATAAAAAGTTTAATTATAAGTCCTTTAAAAGCCTCTTTTTAAGGGCTATAAGAGCTTTTAAATTAAGTTAAAATACTTATTAAAATATTAATAACTAAACTAACCTTATAATAATAGCTTTAATAAAAAAACTAAGAGACGAACTAAGAAATAATATTAAAATCCTCGTTAATATTAAATATAATTTATAAAGAGTAATAACGTAGTTATAGAGTATTAGTAATATATTTTATATTAAAAAGATTATTATTAATATTAATAAAACGGATAGGGCCGTATTAATATAGTACTTTAGCTTCTTTTTATAACTCGAGGATTATAGCCTTAAATAATATTAAAAATCTATTAAAAAGCTTTTTTAAGTATTTTAATATATTTATTATTATTTTTATAATAATAAAACTCTTAGTACTTATATATGAGTATAAGTTATTTATTTTTAAATAATAATATTAGTTTATTAATAAGCTATTAAAACTGCGATTTTAGTAATTTCTTAACGAGGGAGAGGGTAGAATAGAGGAAAGGATAGGTAATTTATAAAAAGGGTTAAGGTTAAATAGTGCGGAATTCGAGGGTAGGGTAGCGTCTATATGTACTACGGCAATCCTCTAGTAATGCAAAACGATGGAGTTAAACAGTGGAAGGGAGAAGTGCCACTTGGCTGTTAGTCCAGGGCATGCTTGACAAGCCGGGGGCCCGGAGCTCTTGTTTACGTGCTAGTTAGGGCCATGTCATGACAAGGCATGTCGCATTTAATTAGCGGGCAATCAGATGGATGGTCGATCTGGGTCAAGGATGCCGAGGGTTGTTGCAACGGCATCCAAGTAATAGTGCTGCGGGTGCCGAAGTGGTGGTCGCATCTCGCCTTAGCCCTTGGATGGTGTGGCTTACGGGCCACCTGAAAAGCCAGGGCGCCGTTCTGTTAGACTGTACGGATGGTCGTGTTCGGTGAGGTGGATGATCGCACTCCACAACGACAAGAAGTGAATGTCGAGTACTGAGGAGACCGACTTTGCGATTGCAGACGGCAGAGAAACTGCTGGTCTCACTTGTGAACTGTATGCAGTGCCATGAACTGGACATGGCCACATGGGAGGCATGGACACTTTAGGTGACGTCGGCGTTTCTATTGCGTGATATTCAGAGATCATCAAACCCGCAAAGTGTGCCAGACGCGGATGAAGTCCGTGACCTTGTCATTCCTGTCAAACCGATTGTTCATAAAGGTCGAAACTTCTGATTATGTGAATCTAATCGCCATTACAGAGCCAAAGAAGCGGTCCACGGTCTTCGAAGGGGGTCGCAATGAACGGACTGGGCGGGCCGGAAACTCAGTGTTTTCTGTTCGAAACGGATACAGGTACTACTTCTGGAAATGAAGTAGAAGAGGTCAGTGACACGAACAGACAAAGTGGTGATGTAAGCTATAGGCGACGAAGGTCTCGGACTCGGACTCAAAGAGGGCAACCTTGAAAGCCGGCCCAATAGTAAGATGGTGCCGGTCAAGGTAGGTTTCGTGAACGGATAGAACCCACTAGGATCTCCGGCTGGCAACAGGTCGGTTAATGGTGCCGTGGTCGATCACTGATCTGTTGATCCCCGACTAGGTACTCGTACGGATACAATCCCTGTGTTGCCGGCCTGATCACGACGGTTTTCGTAGTTGAAGCTTGGTTGCAGTCCCCTGGCCGCCGTTTTGGCGTAAGTGTAGTGGGACGACAAGGACAAACGGACTGGAAGGTGAATCTGATGCTACTGCAACTAAGGTAAGGCGCACCGGTCCAAGAAGGACCAAGCCTCTTGGACCGACGGTAAGTGCAGCTGCAAGCTGCTTCCCAATGCTCTTTTCTATTTTGAGGGTGGGAAAGGGGAACGGGGAAACGGGAGAAGAGGGGCCCTCAGGTTGGAGGGGAATACGATCCCGCCAGCGCTAATGCGGGAGGAAATTTCCCATCTCAGGGCACTTGGCTCTCCTCCTTCTCAACCATCTCCACGTAAGGTAAGGTACGGAGTACTGAGCTACCTACCGACTGCCTTAGTCTACGGATGTATGGGATGCTGCCTTCAGTACCGTGGTAAGGTAAGTAAGTATCTTACTCAATGGAACTGTGGGAATGAGCTAAGAGCCTCAGGCATAAGCATATCCTCCGATACGTACCGTCATCCGTCCCATTGCCTAGGACGTTTCCTCCAACAACAACAACTACTTTCACCTTACTCGGACGCTTCCAAGTTGACAATATCTTCATCCATACACGCTTACTCGCACGATCCCGACAACGCACTGCTTACATGCGCATGGGCCAACGCCAGCAAAGCAAGGCAGTATGACTACAGCTGGCTTGTGCATATTCCCTGCCCTGCCAAGTTGGCAGCTTGGCTCTGCTGCGCCCATAACCAACTTTCGCCCCAGCTGAATCAGAAATCTACGGGTTTCAACATGCCAGTGCGGTACTCGCGAGGTCGTCTGTCTAGTCTGATTCAGCCAACGATAATCCCGGCCGGCGGTCTCTCTTCTTTGTTCCTTAGCGCCAGCTCATCATTGGCCTGACACGTTTCTTGCAGACCGCGATGCCACTACAGCGGCCGGTGTATGTATCCTGACCATCCACAGAGAGGGACGGGAATCAGACAATACCCATACACAGGCACACCCGTGGGCGTACACTCTCAAATGGTCGTACCTTTCACCGCAGCATAGAAGCCTTGTCGTACACGGCAAGGCCCAAAAGTTTCCGAATTGAAAGTCAAGTGGTCACCGGAAGGCACTTGGAACCCAATTCTTGACCATAACGGCAGCACAAATGGACTTTTTTGGGCCTAACACCAAGACCTGGTTCACCTGGTTCAACAACCCCAATCTTGGCTCTCCTACGAGACAGATCCACACACGTTGAGGTAATCCACACTCTTCGACGCCACCGCAAAGAGGTTTAGGATACTGGTAGCAAATTCTTGATTCACTTCTCATCCAACGTCTGTTTGTTGCCAAGATGACGGAACTGCACATTGCCCGCGCTCGCGGGCTTCTTGGGACGAAAAATCCGGCGGACGGAATCCGGCGACCATCCCATCTCACCAGAGCGTTCCTTTCCTCGGCTCTAGATTCGCACAAAACGACGGCCCAACCTCGAGAGGGTAAAGTCTACCGCCATGACGTCGGCGTGTACCTGAGCGCTTCGGCCGAACTAGACTCGCAACCTCGCGCTTTCCCCCTACACCCACAACTCGAACACTGACTCTTGAAAGTGGGTGGTAGCTTGCTCCTGCGCAGAGAGTGGTCTGCTTGCCGAAGAACCGTCTTACGCTTCCTTCGACATGGGCCGGAACTCTCGTTCTCGCAAGGCGCCCGAGTCAAACTGTTGTGGCCTGCAAGTTCAGCCTCGACGGATTGCCTATCAAGTCGCTGTTTAAAGATCTCCTGTGAGGTTTTGTCTCTTCATGACCAGGGATTCGCGCCAGCACTTCCTGCTGTGTTCCTTGTAGCCTCCCCGGTTCATTTCCTTACCCTGCAGAAAGCCCTTCTTGCATGGTGGCGTATAATCACCACCCAATTGTAGACATATCCAGTGATTGTCAACTATTCTCATCAACTCTTCTGCTTAGCTAGCGCACCCCGGATGGCACCAGGGCTTTGGTCAACCGCATATTGAGCACGTCTGATGACCCCCTTGCTTTCTTAGTGAGAGGTGTAACCTTAGATTGCTCATGCACTTCTTTCCCTCGCGTACAGTTCACGAATTTCTTCTTTCAAGTGCTCAGGAATACACGGCCGTGTTGCCGGTGTCTCAAGAGCCCCGAGTAGATAGTCACCGGCCCTAGTCATGGATATTGACTGTTGTCCCGACACTCATTCGTCTGAGGACCTGCCATACCGTGCTCTCTCGTGCCCACCTGCCCACGAGTTGATCATACGAACCATCCTAGATAGCCTTGACAAGGTCTCGTCCCCCTCCCCTAGCTCGCTGCATCTAACGGACATCCGATCATGCATCGAGCTAGTCCCAAGCTGTGGCTTATACGCCTGGCCATGCCCGACTCCAATACATGCCATGTGCAAGCAGTCAGCACAACGCCATATGTCATCCAGGCCACCGTTCTGCTCCGGTGGCCCGTCTCGCGTCGACCGAGCATCGATCGACTTTTGGCAAACCCAAGCCCGGCACCATGTCAGAACATCACCTCTACCAAGCAGCCGGGGCCGGCCAGTCCAAGAGAAGGCTGCAGCGTCCAGATTCCACCCTTCCCACGCTCTGGCCATCCAAATCCTCCTCGTGTCATTCAGCCTGTATAAGTTCTCTTGCTCTCCCTCTTCGGATTATGATACGAGATCTTACTCTTCACTCGCGCCTTTCCCTTCCCTTCTTTCCCCCCTGCATTCGTACTTCCTTCCTCCACTCGTTCGCCGGAAGAGTAACCATAATTACTTAATTTTCACTCGCTAGACCAGGTCTGTCTAGTCTTGAGTGCCCAATATGTTGCGGTCTCTCTTCGCCTTGGCTTGGGCCAACACTGCCCTTGCCGCGACTGTGACCTACAACTGGGAGGCCACTTGGGTCAACGCTGCCCCTCTCAATGTCTCAAGGGCTGTCATTGGTATCAATGGCCAATGGCCCTGCCCCAAGATCGAGGCCACTGTGGGAGATACCGTCGTTGTTCACCTTACCAACAAACTTGGCAACCAGACCACCGGTATTCACTTTCATGGCATCGACCAAGTCAGCACCAACTGGATGGACGGCCCCAGCATGGTTACTCAATGCCCTCTCCCTCCGGATATGACCATGACCTACTCGTTCACTGTAAGTCTAATCAACATGAAGATCTGGTCCTTAGAGCGTAGCTAACCAAATCATATAGGCTGATACGGGCGGTACATACTGGTGGCACTCCCACAACATGGGCCAGTATCCCGACGGCATGCGTGGTCCCCTGATTATTCACGACCCGGCGGACCCCTATGCTGGGCAATACGACGAGGAGTACATCCTGTCTGTTTCAGACTGGTAAGTGCTGCATGAGAATGCGAGTGAGACTTCTAGACTAATTCGATGCAGGTACAACTCGGAGACCATTCCTCTAGTGCAGAACATGCTGCTTCCGTCCAACACTCGCTTCGCGCCCCCTATCCCTGACAACATGGTCGTCAACGATGGACTCGGCGCCAAGTTCAAGTTCGAGAAGGGAAAGACCTACCGCATCCGCATGATCAACTTCGCCGCCTTTGCTTCCTTCATGATTCACTTCGACTCTCACGACATGAACGTCATTATGTCCGATGCTGCCTACATCAAGCAGAAGACCTCATACATGCTGCGCATTGCTCCCGCTCAGCGTTATGATGTTCTCATCAAGTGTATTGACCGCGATAACCGCAACTATGGTTTCCTCATCGCCGCCGATATCAATCGCGACTACAGCAATAAGGACTTTGCTCAGAGCTGGCCCTTCAACTACACCGGACAACTGGTCATGTTCCCTGACAGGGCCTTCGGTACCGACGTTGTCAAGGAATGGCGCCCGTCTGACGATGCCGTCTTCGAGCCCTATGGAGACGTTGCTATCCTCCCTGCCGCCACCAAGGTCTTCCAGTACGACTGGGCGTTCTGCTTCGACAAGAACGGCATCCCCCGCGCTTGCGTAAACGGCACCCCCTACGTCGACCAGAAGGTGCCCACCCTCTACACGGCTTCCACCACCGGCGAGAACAACACCAACCCCCTCGTCTACGGTGCCGTTCACCCCTTCATCGTGAACTACGGTGACATCGTCGACATCGTCGTCAACAACAACAACGAGGCCAACCACCCCTTCCACCTCCACGGCCACCACTTCCAGGTCGTCAGACGCCCCGCTTCCGGCACGGGCGTCTGGCCCGGCGTCGCCCGCGCCCGCCTCAACCAGAAGCCCCCGCGCCGCGACACCGTCACCGTCATGGGCAACTCCCACGCCGTTCTGCGCTTCGAGGCCAAGAACCCTGGCGTCTATCTCTTCCACTGCCACATTGAGTGGCACGTAGAGATGGGTCTCACCGCTACCATTATCGAGGCTCCTGAGAGGCTCCGCAACCTCACCATCCCTGATGACCACAAGGCTGCCTGCCGCGCTCAGGGTATCCCCACTGCTGGCAACGCTGCCGGTAACACGGCCAACGTGCTTGACCAGACTGGCATGAATCTCGAGCCTTTCCCCACGTACACTGGGTAAGTTTTCTCCCCTTCCTGTTCGTCAAAGGCGTTTCGATCTCTTTCAGAATTCTTGAAAACTGACACTCTGCCGTAGTGCCGCCTACAACCCTCCCGCCTCGCCGCCCACCAAGCGTTACAACGCTCCGGCCCACCCTCCTGCTCAGCTCCGTGGACGCACCATCCGCCGCACCGGTCTCTCGAAGTAATAGAGACCTGACACCTCATCTCTCCTACTAATTTTTTTCTTTTCTTCTCTTCTTGAATGGTACTCCCAGTACCGTTCACGTAAATAGTACCCATGATGCCATGTGGATATGCATATGACTTATTGTTTTGTCGGAGTTCATGACGATGATGATGAAGGGGGACGGGTGAGGGTGGGTGACGAGAAGGTTCAGTCGGGCTAATATGTAATAACGGCCGCTCTACTACGAGCGACTTCTTCCACTGCCTCTACTTTCACCCATCCGTCTCGCTCCCCTTGTGGTGTGGCGTTTTGGTAGCGCCGAGGTTTGGCACGGGAGGTCTGACGATCGTGGTAGATTGAGATGGTTTCCTTTGAGAAATCTAGATGGGGACGTTGGAGGTATTAAAACATAAATAGGTGGGAAAATATGGGGATAATGAGAAGGAAGTTGTTGACTCTCGCCATCTTGACTTTTTGCAGTGACCATGAATTTTCTTGGCTTGTCGAACATTCAGAGCTTGAGCCATGACCGCAGCAGTGAGCCGTTAGAACCTGTCTCGTTGCCCTTGACAGGTATGTGTGTGAATCGGTTGGACTCTCTGGTCTGCAGAAGTGAAGAAAGCAGAACAGGTAGGGTATGCCGGCGCGAAAGTTCGGATGGTATTGACGCATGTCGATACTGTTGATGCCGAGGCTGGTCGGTCATACGGCGGAGCGTGAACAATTTCGATTTCCCAAAGACCTCGACATCTCCCCAATCATCAAAGATTTGAGAAAGATGGCAGTGGAGCGTCCAACGAGCTCCGCAAGACCTAATTCTGTGGCGTAGGTAAGGCTGTCAAGGTTCGGATGGGCGAGGAAGGAGTATGCGGTCTGGTTGATCAGCCCACGTCTTCATACTTCCCGAATCTTGTTGAATGTTGCCGCCTGATATTTACCATATTCCTCAGAAAGGAAGACGCCTCGGGTTTTGTCGGAATGTCCGTCCCAGAACTGTATAATCTCATAGAGACTACAACGAAAAACGGAGACAGAAACTGGGAGAAGGACGCCAGACAATGACGTGCCCATTTCGTGCGATTCCGCATTTCTTAAGGGTTTGAAACGAAACAATCAGAGGTGAAGGAAGGGCAAAACACGCAACTCTGCGTGCCAGGACTTCGATGGAAGCTATTATGAGGCAAGAAAGCATTGGTTTCCGGACGAACACCACCATGTAGAACGACGAACTCGCCCCCACACAGCAGACAGTCAGTCATGTCGCTGTGAAAGTGCGTTCCATCGCCATGTTTCGGGGGATATTTGTCGTGAGAGTTTTCGTGAATGAGTCCATATGGAAAGAGGAGGCAAGGAGAACAAATCCCTGGGATGAGATCGACTGAGTTCCTTATAAAGTGTTGTTTGGCGAGCAAATTCTGTGCAACTCTATGAGCTAGTTTGCGCGCATTTAAGGCAGATTCTGATCGTGAGAGGGAGCGCGTGCACTGTGGCTCCGGCGTTGGTGTGTGTGCAACCACCACCGACGCGATTGAACCGTTCTCTGCAATGTGGCGTTGGCGGGAGTCTTTTCCGTACAGAAATCTAGTCTGGAAAGACCGAGGAGAGAGAGCCTTCGCGGATGTTGCCGAGAGTCGACCGTTGAGAGCTTGACTGGTCTGTGAAGCTAGCCTCAATTGGGTGGGTGATGCTAACAGGCCTCACATCGCATGCCAGGTCGGATCGACGCGGAGGTGGTTTTGGTGAGAAGAAGACGCAGGATTTGGGGATCTTGATAGACTGTGGGGATGAATCTGATGCCTGGATATTGTTCCGGGGAGTTTTGAGTCATAGATCAGATGTTCGGAGTTGTGATGGCTTTTGTGGACTTGGTGCAAGTGGCAGACCCATTTTGTCGGTTTGAAAAGTGGTAAATGTCGTGAGATAAATCGAGACTTCCGTCCCCACGACTAACTTGCCGTGCATGAGAGGGAGTCGTGATGAACTGGCCATGAATTATCGAGACTCCGCACAGAAATATCCCCTAGCCTTGGGATTGTTGCAGTTATTGACGTACTGAGTCCAGTAGCCGAGCAGTATCCTCAAGGGCAAGAGGTCTCCTCCATCCAAGAAACGTCTCAGGCGGGGTCCTGAGAGTCGAACAGCGATCCAAATTCTCTCTTTTGAAGACGAAATCAGAGGAGGGAGGGATTACGGATGAAGATGAGGAACATCGTCCACTTCGCAGCGACCCGTTGCCGTCTGCTCATCTTGCACGAATGAATTTGAGAGTGCCTGGGAGGCGTGGCGTAGCTTTGCGGTGCCGGCGTGATTTCCAACAATTAGTTTCTGTTTCAATGCAGAGAGGAAAAGTATCCGAGGTAGCAGCATAAAGCTTCGCGGTGATGTAGCTGGAAAACTGATGTGATGATGATCGATGGTCAAAGATATTCGAGAATCATGAGAGAAATGGTATCATCGTGCGTAGTATCTGGGACATCATTGGCAGGTTGAGGTTCCATACTTCTTCGGGATGGGTAGATGAGAGATAAGGGAAGTAATAGCGAATAGGATCGAAAGGATGAAAGAGATAAAAGTCGATGAGACGGTAGCCGCGATACTGTCAGATGCCAGCTACAGAGGAGGTCGGATAAGGGGGGGGAAGGGGAGTATTTCGAAGAACGAAAGATACAACAACACAACAACTAGAAGAAAGAGGGAAAGAAGCGATTGGTAATAGGACAGTTTTGCCACCCTACCTCGAGTTATATACCTTTGATCTTCACTGCAGGAAAGCAAGATCAAGGGCGCGCGGTTCGGCGTGCCCTACCACGCCAGTGCAACCTCCGTGATCTGCATCTCTGGAAACCCGATGCAGACCTCTCTGGACCTCTAATGGGCTGTTGCTTGCCCTACGGTGTATGCGTGTGTCCATCTGTACTAGACCTATGTGTGCGTGTGTATATGTGTGTGTGTGTGTTCCATCTGGCGCCCCCTGCCTACATCAGAACATGCACCGTCATGTCTCGGACATGAGAGAGGCCAATCCACACCAAGCACACACTCACAAGGACGTGTAACGCAAAAAAAGACAAGAGGAAGAACAAGGCTTCCTCGCAATAAAGTTTCCGATGACCAACGTTGGGGGCGGTCAAGTTCCTGGAGCACGGCATGGATGGTGGCCCTACACATACGAGGAAGGGAAGTAAGCAGAGATCAGCCTTTTCCCTTCGGTGATGCAACGTGATGAAGTTGACGATATCCACGGACAGCCCAAAGACCGCGAGATGACCAGGGGACGGAAGCGTGGGGACGACGAGCTTCGCCCAGTCCATCCCGAAGATAAGAAAGTGAGTGGAGGTAATGTTTTGAGGAATCCCCCACAGCTGAGAAGAGAATGATGCCATATCGTGATACCTTCCCAGTTCCGGTCAACTTGGTTGGAAACCAAGTATGTGATAGGCTCTAGAAATGGCAGTAAGAAACCCGAGACAAGCTTAGAAAAGTTGGGAAACACAAAAGAGCAGGAAGGATTCCGGGATACGACACCGGAGAGAAAGGGGAATCCATCAGTCCCTTCCCATTCGTCACGTTCCTCTCAACAACCTGTCTCGCAACCGGAGCTGACGCATGTCATCCCGCAGCGGCACCGAAGAAGCTTGACCGCTTTCCCATCTTACCTGCTCTCTTACATGGCTGGTAAGGTTTGGGTTGAGGAAAGACGAGGAGTGGAGAGTGGACTGTACGCCTTGATTCTGATGAGAACTGTGTATCATTGAGATAGCAAAAGAGACACAGAGGGAGTAGAGGCAGGGGGGCGGGGGGCAATAACACGGGAAACAAAACACGGCCATGCTCCCCCAGAGAGAAGATGAACAACCAGCATCCATGGGGTTCTTCCCAAACTCTGCCCCAGTTCGCCGGAACCACGAATTGGCTGACACAGACTGGGCTGGCCTGACCCGAACATGACTGGTTCCCATCTCCACGGGTTCGAAGAAAACGAAACCTGACAAGGGGAGAGCGGGAAGACGGGAATCTAGCGGGATCCGTCGAAGAACCCGTTTGAAACATTCAAAGCCGTGACAGCTACTAAGAAAAGACGGGAAAAGAAGAAAGGGAGGCCTTGGTGGTCGTGGTCCGTTCTCTCTCTCTCTCTCCGTAGTTTGGGTCTCGGAAAGATATCACCACATCACTGGGGGGGGGGGGGTGTCTTCTTGCCTCTATGATCCTTGAAAAAGGGCGTGGGAAGTTTTGTAAGCCAAGTAACATAACAAGGAACCAGAGATGAAGAAACCACGGTCTCTCTCGGATGTAATTTGGATCCAAAAGATAGCATGTAATCAGGTTCGGTCTCGTTTCCGCCGCTCATTCGCGGGGTACCACAACGATGGGATTCGAGGTTCATGTTCCAAGGCCCAGAGGTCCAAAGGAAAAAAAAAACAGAAAAAAAGAGGGGATGAAAACCAAGAAAAGAGGTCAACCCGGGGAGGCAGCCCAAGTGCCTTGAGACACAGAGACAGCAACAAGAGAAAGGGAAGAAACAGAGTTGACAGCAAAAAAAAAGAACTCTAGTCAGCAACAACGCCCCCCTCAATCCCAACTCTTGATTCGTTCAAAGACAAAGTGCGTGAGACGTTGGCTGCTGTCCTCGTCCGTTCGTCTCTTACTTTTCCCAATGTTCGTGTCAGAATCTGTACGCCTCGGGGGAATGGGCTGAGCGCAGGCGCGCGCGGGCGGCGGGGCGTGTGTAAGCCCTGGTACCTAAGCACCAGCCAAAGTGTACGTATGCGTATGTGTGCGTGCGTGTGTATGAGTGCAGGCTTGCAGGACTGGACATACGGTCTCTGCGTGTTCGTCCAATTGCAAAGAACGCTGCAAGGCAGTGGGCACGACCATGTTTACCTTTTGACTTACATGGCTGTTGCTGCTCCTGCTGCTGGAGGGTGAGGACGGGCAGTCATACATAGACACACAAGAACCAAAGACACACAGGCAACTAGAGAGACGCACACACAGGGAGTGCTTGTATTCGGTGCGTTATGATTCTTGATAAGCAAGACAGCCAACTAAACAAATTCGATAGCCCGTGGGCTACGGACACTTTCGGACTTAGGAGGGGGGGTCTGCGTCCAAGATACAATCAACGGCTTGATGGACTTTCGGTAATGTCCAGATCGGATAGATCACAACATTCTCGGGGCTTTGATAAGAGTGCTGGATGAGTATTGTGGTATCCGGGCTCTGGAGTTGACCCGTTTCCCGTCTCGAGTGGAAGTAGCGGCTTTCTTACATGCTAATTTAATAGAGAACGTGAGTAACATGCCAACTCTGACAGAATCTTAGTCCTAGAGCTCCATGTAGAGCAATGACGGCATAGTAACTAATCAAGGGATCTTGTTCGTGATGATAGACCCAAATGCTAAGCAGCCAGGGCACGTTGTGTCTTCACATGTATATCGTAGATTTACGAACCTTTGAGGAAGAAGTTTGAGCAATCCCAGTCCCCCGGGACTCGATAAACCTCCAACGGTCAAGACAAGTCAAGAGAGGAAGAGACTCCCAGCGCAAGATCTCCTGATCCTCAAACGAGATCTTCTGAATGTCCCGAGAACTTGAGATCGAAACAAACGAGACGAAAGAAAAAGCCCAAAAACACACATAACTCTAGAGACTTAACAGCAAGCGGTCAGCATCATTCAACCGAGATGTGTCCCCCGAGCCGAGCGGCATAGGAGTAAACCGCAGGCTTGGAGCCGGGAGAAACGCCGTTCTCGTCCGTTCGTCCCATGCCCTTTCCCGACGTAGGGCAGAAACTGGGAAGAAAAGAGAGGCCCCCCGTACCAAGCGGCGCCCCGGCACCACGGGAACTTGGATAAAGTTGGATCTGGCAGGAGCCAAGATGCGTCCTGCAGAAGGAGGGGCGTGTGAGATCCACGAAAATCAGGTTGTTATTCGTCTTATTCCGTGGCCCTGGGGGGTATAACGATATGTTTCTTGTCTGGAGAGTCAAAAGTCCATACAGAGCTGGGGACAGGATGTAATGATGCATATGGAAGCCATGGCCAGGAAAGAGAGAGGAAGCCCTGCACGCCCGATGTTCGGACAAGCATGCGCCAGCCAAGGACCGAAGTTCGGGTGGTCAGACAGGAATAAGACGCCCGATTTCAAGATTGTGTGGGTAGTTGTGAGAATATGCCCGTTGATGGGGCTGAAAGCTTATGCCTGGAGTTGAGTCGCTGGTGGACAGCGAAAACAAGCCATGCTCATGTCCTCATAGGACCGAATGCGCTTCCTGGGTCAGGCCCTCTGAGACATGGGGAACACAGTCAGAAGCAGAAAATGAGGTAGAAGACTACTCCTTGAGAGACTGTATGGCGGTTCCACTAACAAGGGGCGGACAGATAAGGCTGATGAAGAAGCTGCTGGACAACGTAGCATCGCCAGACAACTGCAACCTAGAGGCGCAGGCCTTCTTCCAAACTGAGCCTCGGCAGAAAAGAAGGAATATGCAGCCACGTCTATCATTTTCGTGTAATAGTCCACTCGGATTGATCGGTTGACATACTAGAGGAAAGCCCCGAAGGCCACAGATTTGGCCTCTCGGGTATGGCGCCAGCTTGGGTCGTTATCAAGTTGCTTTGCCAGATGTGCCTAGCTTTTGGCTTTTTCCACAAAGATGGCCTGATTGTCAGATGTCAGGTAAGCAAACAGCTGGAAACCCGTAGTTTGAAGTGATTGGATAGGAAGAGATGAGAGTAGTTGAGGTTGCCTAGCCCGCCAACCTACTGCTTCTAGAAAAGCAGTCTTGGACCAGAAGTCCATGTCTCGAAATATCCGTAGGAATATGAGAAAGGCCAAAGACTTGTATCCTGGAGAAACGAGATCAAATAGATGATCTGCGAGTTCACCTTCCGAGGCAAGCCAGTTCGAGCCCTAGAAATACATCTGAGGTTAACAATATTCCCCGAAGAACGCAGCACCTAGTGTCAGTGTCTAATTACTAGAACCCGTTGTCAAGAAAAGTCTCACCAGATCTCGACGTCTACGTAGTGGGAGCTGCTTACAAACACTGGTTCGCGCTGCCACAGCAAGGATAGAGCAGGTCTCAAGCTCGACCGAGTCCAAGCTTGTTCGCGTACAACGAGTTCCAGGGGCTTCTATTTCGAGAGGTATGCTAACCGCGGAAGGATTCGATCGCAGGACTGAGGTGTTCCTCCGGGAGGATTACGAGGAAGGTGTCTCGACTAGCCCGGGAGCACGTCCGGGCCATAGGCTTGCAGAATAGCCGAGCGACCGTAAGGAAGACACTTCGAGGCGGGGGACGTTCTGGAAAATGATCGGTGCTGCGGATGGGAGTGTGCATGTAGGACAGAAGAGTGTCCACCGTATGATGAATGTCTAGTGCCACGAAATTCAGAGGACAAGCGGTTGGTGGTAGAGACGACCCTACTCCCTGTCAGAACCATTAGTCAGTATGAACAAGAAAAGTGAATATCGATAACCTCAAAGTGCCTTAAAGGCACCCCTCTGGCCTGAAAGATCTTCAGAGAGTGTGTTTATGGTAATACAGAAGCGTCATCGTTTTTTGAAATACGACGGAGAGATTTGCAACCTGGCAGGTCCGAATCGTCAGCAAGAGTATGGGATGGTCGTGTGTACCTGGTTAATGATTCCTATGATATGCAGGCTTCGGTAGTTCAAGGGAGCAGCACCGGGTCAGCTAGGCGTGGTTTATCAGCATCACCACTACACATTTGCAAAACTGCAGTAGTTCTGCAATCAAAACAGCGATCAAATTGGCAAGAGCCCCCGTCGAGGTTAGACGCGCTAGAGGGACGAAGCAAGGCACGCCATGCAGGCGTGGTCGGACGTCCGATAGCACAGCCGCACTGGATTTGTGAGTGGGTTTTTTTTGGGACTGCCCTTCCTCCTCCCCGCCTTGGATACCGGCCGGAGCCTCAGGTAAACTTGCGCGCTTCTTGGGCCCACCAAGGTAAGTCGGACGGGCGAGCGGCTGCATTTCATGGGCCCATTGTTGATGGTTTGACGCAGGCAAAGCTTGCAGCGTTCGCCGTGGAAGCCGGCGCAAAGCTGCACTTGGATTCCGGCACGGAAGCACCATCTTGGGCCAAATTCGGCGTTGAGGAGCATTCCAGACCGGAACGTCGGTACTGCAAGCAGGAATAATCGTTTGGGCTGCCGTACTCGGACTTGGAGACGAAGCAGAGTTGCATAGTGTTCCACCTGGACCGTTTGGGCACCGTTGGCCAACAATGGAGTCCGGATGCACGGAGAGAGATGACTCGTTATTGGCAGGAGGCCCAAGGCTGTGGCTCATGGCGGCACCTTGTTGCAGAGCTTCCCGGTCGAGATAGAAATGACGTTGATGTGTCTCACATACTGCCATCCATACTTTGGGACTTGGGAGAGTTGCGAGGTAGCACAGAGAGGGCGTTCGACCATACCAAGGTAATAGGCCTGTTGTGGTAAATGCGATCGACCAACACCATTGCTGTTGGGCTCATGCATAGCTCCAGGAGGCTGGCTGAAGGGATAGAGCCGGGATGAGACGACAAGCCGCGGCGCCGATTCCGATCGTTTGCCCTCCGGACAGATGTATAGCGTCTTGCGGTAAACCAGGACCAACACCTAGCCGGGTGCAGATTGCTCTCGGAGTTGAGTAATGGTGGAGGGTACTCCGGCACTGGGCAGAGAATACATCCCGCCGTAGGTCTTAGTAGCCAAGCCATCAAATCTATTTCCGTGAGGGAGTACGGATAGGATTTACGATGCCCGTTTGTCTCCTGCTAGTGATTAGTCGCGTTTCGTTTCCTTTTCTTCTATTGGGGAGGGGACCGTTGGAGATCAGCATGCCGCTAGGCACGAAGACAAGCATCGCAGGCTAAGGCCGTGTCAAGCAAGGTAAGCTGTTCCCCGAAAGGTAAAGTGCGAGATGGAAAAGGGGAAGGGCGTGAAGCGGGGTGTGAAATCTGGCGATGTGCTGCGATGACAGGATTCGACCCCCGCGTGTCCGGCTTCGTCAAGTGAAGCCAAATTGAGTGAGTGATTTCGAGATAAGGAGGCTCAGTCCCGATGCGGTGAGATGAGTTGTTGGACAGAGTGAGTTAACACGTCCAGTGTAGGTGAGCGCCGGCCGGGAAAGGATTGTCCTGGTCTCCGAGAGCCTGGGCTTGGTGAGCCCTCCCCCACCATCTCTTCCTCCCCCCTCCTTCCCTCCGTATTTTGGGTTTTGGGCGCCGGGAGGATGCGACAGTGCCCTGGGCTCGTACAACATAAGGTATCTTAGGCGCTGTGAGTCGATAAAAGCCACATCGTGTGTTGTGTACTAGTATCCGTTGCTACCACTGTACTCTGTACTGCCCCATGAAGAAGGAATCCCTTGTCGCTGGTGGCAACGGGGATAGCATAGACAGCGGACCGCCCTCGGATAAAGCTGGCTGCTAAGGTTCGGTGGTGAAGCAGTGGTCTTAGTGGAGGATTTGCAGTAGAAGGGCGAAAGGCACCGAAGAAGAGCCTGTGGCCAGTTACTGAGGTTTGGATTAGTGGTCAGAACTTCCATTCTAGGGTGCCATTTGGGCTGCGCGGACTCGCCGGCGATTTTGTGATTGGTTCACCTACGACTTGACATCCGCTAGAGCATCCCACCACATCTCCATTGTCGTCCTTGTTTTCACCTTGCCCGTAGACAAACAAGACGACAGCTCGCACCTTGTGGAAAGCATCACGAAGGTCTATTTCGAACAATGTCCTTGTTCTAACCATATCCTGTACCGTGCAATGTGGAATCCCGAAGGCCTGGGCAGTTCAAGACAGCAGTTGCAATGCGAATCGACGAACAACATCCCATGGCGGCCCGTCCATCATCGCAATCAATACCAGGAAAAGAACGAGAAGGTCGGCTTGTTTCTCGTGTGCATACAATTCTACCTGATATTGCTGCATCTGCAAGTCATCCATTTCTAGCTTGCCGTCAAGATGGATGATTTCGAGACTCGGGCATTCGGTGGCCGCCCAATGCTCCGTCCGCACAATGTATGACTGTCGCCTAGGCATCGGATCCTCATTAGATAGCTACATGAGGATCTTCGCAGATGGTTTCCTCCCGGCAGAACGTCGTCGAGATCCGTCTCAAATACGGGCTTCTGCAAAGTACCACTATCGCCTCAGATATCAGTCGAACATGGTCTTCGTCGACCATGGGGCGCCGACCAACGTTGGGTCTGGGTGGCCTGAAGAGGCTTAACGCGGTAGGCCGGTTGAGCTTGGCTGTGCGCCACCAAGCCCGTCCGTCCACGCTGCTCAAGACGGCCGACTTTCAGGTGAGCGATGCACCGACTAGACGTATCTCGTCCATACCCAACCGCTTATCTGGCAGCAGCACGATATGGACGGTGGACCAGGTTACTGACTGACCGCGACTGGGGCACAACCTGCTCCGAGACGCCGCATCCAAGAGTGTCTCTCGTTTGCCCGGCTGCCCACTGCGGCGGAACAGAGGCAGGCGCTAGGTATTGGGATGAATGACCAGATAAGGCATGCATTCCACATATGTGCCGCGTTGAACGTCTTTGCGAGGAATATGGCGTACGGGCCGACTAGGACCACGCCCTTTCCATCCTCCACGGTGGCCAAGGCCCACGCCCCTCTCATCACAGCGATCCTGGAGTTCACAAGCCAAGACAGCAGGGAAGCATGGTATTCTGGAAACTGAAGCTTGTCAGAGTCAGCCTGAAGAGGCAGGCAATGAGCCGTTGCAAGTACCGGCCAATCTCAAAGCCTGCAAACGTTGAATGAAGGAAGATAAGGTAGCGAGAGCGAATTTGGGATCGCATATCAAATCGAAAAATGTCCTGTGCTAAGCCATGCAGTGCAGCACCGTATACCGTACTTCGCATTCTGGGGCGATTTATCATTGTGTTGCGGTTGTCGTTCTGGTCGTCAGCCTGATATTGCCTAGGATGTGTGTAAGTTGCCTGGACCGGATCCTGAGCAAACATAAACGATGAAAGACATGATCGGATTTGGTTTGGCCGTTGTCCGTCGGACCGTTGATTCGGATACCACTTGTGGCTTCCAGGTTATTCTGGAAAAAGGAAGAAATGTGTCGGTGCTGAGAGCCGGGAGAGTCGATTAAGGTGCTTGTGAAAGAAGCATCTGAATTCCAGCACAGCTGAGCAAAGGGCCCAAGACAGAGGAAAGTAAGGTGAGGCATGGAGCGAGTGCGTGGATGCGTACGAGTGTGTCGGTCTGTTCTATCACTGTCCGTCTTTGCCATCCGAGTGTTTCCAAACGGCATGTGCCATGTATCGGATGAAAGCGATGTCCTCTAGGACGTGTGGCACCGTGCTGACGCAGGCTGTTTTGCCAGAGGTGCTTGTGTTTGGTAATCGAATGTTTGGAATACAGACACAGAGGGCATGGAGTAGAGACGAAGCCGACTGGAGTGGCGCTTGAGTGGTACGAGTGGGGACGTTTGTTCAAACTCCAGAGCGCGTTCCTGTTCCTGCCGCAGCCGTCGCCGCGCTTGTGCTTCTGCGAGAGGCTCCGCGAGAGCTTCCGCCAGGGCGTACAGTGAGTGCATGGAGGTAGTGGTGTAGGTAATTAGGTGCAGCGTGTGCGCGCGCGCGCGCGTGTCCGGTGGAACGGTGGAAGTCGACTATGCCCACAATAGACGATGGCCTGTTCGACGGTCGAGGTCGAAGCACGGCATCCGGGAAGATAGTGGAGATTTGGCTCGAGAGACGGCCCATGGCACGGCGTGGCAAGGGAGCTGGCAGATGGAGTCAAGGAGATGATCTGCAGTCCCCTCTCACTAAGAAGAGGTCGAGGCTCTGAACCGGCTCCAGAGAATAGGAATAAGCGTAAGGGGAAACGACGCCAAATGGGACCCCTTGCCTCGACGCCTTACTAGAAGAGGCAAGGCTGCGGAAGGGGATGCGAGCCCCGAGAGACAAGGCCACGAGTGCCACGCTTGCCCTGACCAAGGTTCGCCGTGTGGCCGTGTACGTACCGGAACCAGGTTCACGAAGTGGAAGGGAAGAACGGTAGACCTGGCGACAATAGAAAAGGGATCTTCCCAGAACATCCATGGCCCGCACCGCACCGTCCGCACATTTTTTGCCTTCCAACTCCAACCCTACCTACTGGCTGTATCCGGAGTTCCCAGGTACGAAGTAAGGTACTGCCAAAGGTACATTGACCGTGTACTGAGGTACGTGTTGCTGACCGACCATCATCGAGAGGCGATGATTGACCTGCCCATAAGAGGTGAGTGGACTTGTGTTTGGGGACCTGCGTTGGCCTCGTTTCTTTTGGGAACGGTACAGTCCAGTATCAGTGACCGTTTCCCTGGATAAAGACCGGCTGAACAGTCTATGCTTTCCCAGATGCAGCTAAAGAATGGAGAAACAAGCTTCCCATAACGATACCTTCCTCGGTACCGGGCGCTGTAACTTGCATATCCACTATGAATAGGGATACGGATGGCGATGTAGGGATAGGTACACTAGAGGAGTACCTTACTCGGACGGGCGTGGTAGGTATCGAGAATATCCGCTTTCCTGCTGAGGTAGGTAAGTCAAGAGACAGCTATTCTGGGTGCCACAGTTTTCAGGTGAAGGGGCGGTACGTTCCTCTCCTGTTCTGACATGAGCATGATGAGGTGGACGGGAATAGCACTGGGTGGATTGGTAGGAGCTGGGCGGTGTTAAGGTGCCACGGTGCGTGGGCAGGAAAAGAGAGGAAGGCGTTTGACGACAACACCCTCACTTTGCAAGTTGTGCCCACTTTGATCGGTACGTGCCCACCTGTTGGCCCTACCGGACGTGGGGTGAGGTGAGGTGAGATCGAAAAGTGGTGCTCTTCCCCCTTGCCCATTTACTTGCCGGGGCCCGAGACCCCACTCTTGCACCAAAAGGGGCAACAGTGGGCAATGGAAGAAGGAAGCGATCCACCTTGCTTACCTATCCGAGCTTGGTACGTATCGGAATCAGGAACGTATCTTTTCAATCGATGAAGGAAGGAACATGGAGTGCGGTGGTGGGCGTCGTCCAACTTCCTTGAGAGCCGCAAGCCGCAAGCCGCAAGCCGCAGCCCACCACTTGCCCGCATCCCGTCCGCCGCCGTTCTCCCCCACCACCGTCAAGTCCGACGACGTCAGCCAGGGCAGGGCAGTTGTGTCTTTTTCTCCGAACTTCACCCAGCAACGTCTCGCATCCTTCTTCCAGCCCGTCAGCCTCTTCTGTCATCTCTAACTGGACATCCATCCACCAGTGCTCGCGATAGATCACCAAACGTCGATATGCATTCTATCTAAATCCGACACATCAGCAACCATTGCCATTTAATCCTTCGCCTCTTCTCTTCCAAACCCCAAAATCATGATCA